ATGTATTTAAAATAGTGAATACTAGTTTCCTAGTATAAAAACTATTATTCCTAAACTATCATTCCTAACTTTCATTCCTAAAATGTTAGATTAATTTTAATTTTGAATTTTAGAAGTGAAAGGTTACGAAAATAAAATATATAACAAGTTTATACATATATCTTTTAAAAATGTTGAACAATAATTTCTTACTAAAAAATCCGTCATTAAAATTTTGGATTAATTTTGACGGTTTACACATTATAATTCATATGAAATTTTTGTTTGATTTGTAAATATAAACATTTGTTATTCTTATCTTATTTGATGGTTTTCAAGAAATATTTATATATATTAAGCTGTATACGAAAATAATGTAATGGAATGTTAATTTTTTAATCTCTGGAATAGTGGTTTGAGCAATTTACAGCCCTTACAAAATCCGATTTATCATACAATATAGGACAAATTCATTTGCAAACCAGAATAAACATGTCAAAAAGTTGACGCTAACATTTTACCTATAAACAAAGATACCTATGTCGGTCAACAACCTATTTTAAAGGACTCACCATTAACCCTTTTAAATGATTAATTGCCACAACAATACACAAAATAGGGACCAGTCCTTTACAAAAAAAAAAATAGAAAAAAACGGAAGCTGGTTGTAAAAAGTGCGGAAATTACGTTGACCTAAAAATAAAATTGCCAACCAAGTTTGCCGGCATTGCCACCTAGACACACACACAAATAGAAAGAGAAGGGGAAAGAGCAAGAGAAAGAGAGAGAGGGAAAAGGATATAGGGAGAGACAGTAGGATACGCACTTGCACTCGTGCACTTCAAATATGATGAAAAGGTAAACGTTCCAAACACACAAACTCACACAACATCAAGAGACCCGACAACGACGATCTCGCAAGGATAAGAAGGATAAAACATTTACATATATGGTAAATACATATATATATATATATATATTTGTGGGCAAGGGTCCTTTCGTGGCTGGCAGTGCATATAAATGAGTGGAAGAACTGAAGGGTTAAGGTGAGTGGTTCCTCGAAACCACCGACATATTCCCCACCCACAGACGTATGCAAATTGTCGGTGCTTTTGCGAGCTTATTAAGTGCTTGAAAGTGCATTACAAAAAAATACACCCTCTAGGAGTGGGGGGAATGGGGGTGCAAGGACCTGCAGCCGGAAAAACGCTTTTAAGTCAACCCACTCGGAAATGAGAACCCGGCGATTGCTGCTCCCTTTTCTCGCTCTCTTACACAGAATGACAGCATCGAAATGAGCAAATGCACAGAGAGAAATTTTTTTGTTCTATATAAGTAGATTTGTTTTCCCATGTTAGTCTTACTTTTATAAACAATTTTAACATGAAAATAAGTAAATAAAACAAAAATAATAGGGTGGTTATCTGATTTAAATTTAGTTTTCTTTTTTTATAGTTCTTGAACACCTTCTTTATTTGAAATTATGGGAGCAGTCTTAATTTTTACTATGGTAAGCTATATGAGAACTACATCAAAGCAAAAACATAACTTTTTGTTCAAAAGAATTTTATTTAATATAAAAAACACAGAGCAAGGAGACAATTTTTTTGTCAAAATATAAAAGAAATCTATTTTTAAGAATTAAGATTAGAATATTAAAGAGTGGTTTAAAAAAATTAAATATATATATCCGTTTTTTCAACCTAATTTTAAGGATTAAAGCTTTAGTTAACTGTTTTTACGTCAATGCACCAGTCTAAGCCTTTCATACTTAAAACATTATGCAAACAAATGTATTGCTTACACAACTTGTCCTGCTTTTGGGGTTATTATACTAATTAAAAGGTGTGACAGAAGTGGGACCAGCGCCCCATAAAAAGTCTTAAATTACCGAAATCATTATTCAACAAGTATGTGGCAAGGACAGTTGGCCAGGAGTCGCAGACCGCAGCCTAGAAACATGCTTATTTGCATACAATATCGTCGTGGCAGGTGAAAGGCATGAAAGGAAATCCTTTGCGGAGGAGCAAGACTAAAAGGACCTCTGAAGACGCCACTTGAGGTTGTCAGACAAACCAGACATCGCAGGCAAGTGGCCACTTTGTCGTCTGAAGGACTCTGTCGAGCCGGAAATTCCTCTCAGCTTACTGTCCTTTTCAGGGAAATTGACAAACAGGATGCTGGTAAATAGAAACAATAAGCTTAGAGTCACAGAAAAGCTTGTAAAGCGGAAATCTATCAATTGTCATAATTTCAACAGCTTATGTTAAACTTTCTGTTTATATATTAAAAAATATTTATTTTAAAATTTGGAGCAGCTATCGAAAATCAAATATCATAAGCAGTAATCAAAGGGGTAAGGAAGAGAAGGGGTCTCAAAAAGCTCTACAGAAAGCATACATATATCCTTTGAAAATATAAAGCTTGTATTTAGAGCTTTTCACTGTTGGCGAAATAAACTTTATCTAAGCTGGACGTGTATCCAGGACATTGAATCAATCGGAGTTCTGAAGCTTTCTTTAAAGCTTTCGGATAAAGCTTTGCAATACGTCAACGGATAAATGATAAAAAGGGATAGCTTTTAACAGATTATTAACAGAGAGCAATTTTAATTTATAATGTATTAAATTTAAATTTATTTTAAAAAATATAATTATAAACTGTTTTAACATAAAATAATTTGCAAGTTTTTTAATAAAAATTCTGTTTAAAGATGCTTGAACAAATTCTATTCCTTTAAATGTGAAGACTAAACTATCAACTAAATAAGGTGGCATTTCTGATCAGAAATCAAAACAATATACTAAGCTTTAAATGCTAGCAAACGAAATATATTCAAATAGTTTTCACTAAGCTTAAACAGCCACCATAATTAACATTCTAATAAACATTTTGAAGAGATACCTCCTTTGCCTAGGCCATCAAATTTGATGTCAACAATCTTACTCAGCCTTAACTGATGTAACAAATTCGTTTATGCCGCTCATTGTTTGCCCACAACAGCAACAACGCCACAAAGGGCATACAACAGGGCATATATGAGGCACATAAGGCTGAGTCAGCAGCTTTGAGACGACGACGCATCCTGCTTATGTTCACGTTCGCAGGATGCAGTGCGACAAGTGCCACTTGAGAAAATGCTTCTTTTTTAGGGGTACGCCATGCACACTCGACTGGTAAATGCTGACACCAAAGACCGGCTCGGCTGAAGTATTTTGCGGGCAAATAGTCCTGAGAATGGGGCACTACCCACTCCACTACCCGCCATATCCGCACATCCTCAACTGGTCTGAATATCCTCGTAATAAAAGTCACTTGAGTGACATTTTTGAGCTTGCGGCCATAAAGTAAAAGGCAAACAAAGCTCAGACAGCCGGAGTTCTTTTTCCAGTCGCTGTTTTTAATCGATTATTGTCGCGTTATTTTTTTTTTTTTATTTGCTGTACCCCCAACTCTCTTGCATAGAAAACAAATCCTGTCTGAGTGTCGCATTGCAACAACAATGGGGACGTACTGCAAAAAATGCAAATGCATAAATCCAAGCACAAAAGATTGTACATTGAACTTGTGCTGTATCATCATCTCATCTCTGAGGGGAAAAGGAAGTGATTTCGCGGGGGCGAATCGAAATGTCCTCGCATGCCTCGTGACATCATATTCAATATACAAAATCCCGATAAGAGCGGGCTCTGCAGATATGGTTACCTTCGTTTATCTTTCCCTGCCTGAGGGCTTGGTTTTCTGTACCCTGCAACACGCTTTTCTCGTTGTTTTCGTCACGTTTTGCGATCGGCGATAAACCCAAAGGAAAACAGCTATGTCCTACAGCAGCTCCTTCGTCGTCGTCGTTCCTTGTTTTTGAAGGCAAGAAATGCACGCGCCGGATGTCGTTAAAATGGCGACCGCCACTTCCGGTGGGCGGAATTCGCGGAAATATGTGAACTTACCTGCAAAGTAAACAAAAGCACATGTGAAAAATTTCGATTAGTATGTTATGACCTTAGGGATGTGAACATTTTATAGGCGGGAAAAGGCAAATTGGGAGATTGAGATACCTATTGCTTAAAATGTTAAATCAAAATTTATGAAAATATGTAATCTTAACGAATAATATTGAACTTTTGGTCTTTTGATAGTCGATATGTGGCTTAAATTCTAAATTAGAGAATTTGATGTTTAAAATTCTTTTCGTTAAGCTGAACAGTAAGATAGAAACTTTCCAGAATTGAAAATTTAACTTATTATCTGTTAAAAAAAGAGTGCCCAAACATAAAATTGTGCTACTTAATTGTAACGTAGCACTTTACACATTGTAAGAACTGCATATTAAATTAATCTGACAGCTTTTCAGCAACCAAAGTAAACTGCTTAAAATCGCACAATAACGACTCCCCAAAGAGAAAGTTCAATGAGACCACGGTATTTTGGAGTCAGCTTTATATGCCTGTGGTTCCAGTTAAGCTTAAAAAGCTCGAGAGGCAGCTGATTGTGGAAAGCAGTCAATAATGGTTCCTGATAAGGTTTTTACTGGTTTTTAAAAAGAACACTCTATAAAGTTATTTTAAAAATCAAATACTATTTGTATTTAATTTAAAAGATCTAAAAATCTAAATGATTTAATACCATTCCGTATTTCAGTAGTCCTACAAATATTTTAAGCCCGTCTATTGACCTATCCCAAAAAAGATTTAACTTTCAGCTTCGCGTGCTAAATGGCCAAAAACTTGGTCACTAGCACAGATTCCCCGCCAGCTCCCTTTTTTTCCGCATTCACTCACTGTAAGAACTTTTGTTGACCCAACAGATTAGCAGCTAATGGGAGAGCACTCTCACAGCAATTCCCGCCAACTGAGCCATTTACAATTACCTCTTGTTAAGAAGAAATCAATGAAGATGAGAGTGGGAAAAAGTGTGAAGTTCTGCATATTAATAAGCCGAAAAATAAAGTTGAACAAATATGCAGCAAAGTGCTTCGACTTCGCTCAGTTTGGTTCAGTTGTAAATCCCAATTCGTTCAGGAAAGAGCAGATATTCGAACTATGTGGAATGCTGTGCATTTGGTGGTGATTTTGAAGGCAGGTGACTATCATCATCTCCATAAATTGCCGGAGGATAAGTCATGCACACAGTGGAAAAAATTAACAGCAAAATTGGCTAAGAATTTGATAATCAAAGGATTGTTAATAATATTGAGAAAATAATAGTTACCTATAATATTATTTTGACTTTGACTTTATCACAAGTTCAACAATACATTATTTCAAATTAATAACAATATTACATTCAGAACGTAAAAAAAATGTAAAAAATAATTTTAATTTCCGATTTCACTGATTTCAAATTTAACAAAGTACCATTTGTATTGAGGCCTACGTTTTTTCCTGTGTGCTTCGTTTTACGGATTGGTCTAGTTGCACAGTTTCGAGCCTAATGAACTTTCGTTTCGTTGACACCAGTTTGTTTGTGGCTCGCTGCAGCAAAGCTGAAAGCGTCTGATTATAGGGTGGGATTTGGATCTGGAACTGAGCACTATAATGCCGCTGCAGACAACAATCAATTGCAGGAGGCGAAGAAGAAGACGAATCCGAGACCCGCAGTGCAAGTAAAAGTGACAAATGAAGTGGAAAGTGCCCTCAGAATGAGAACGATGATGATGATGCGGATGAGAAATCGGGGTGGTGAGCTGCGACGGTGGCAGACGAACTACCATTTTGACACACAAATGCCACTGCTGTCTGGTTTCGGCCTAATGGGTCCCAACCGGGTGCCAATATTGGATAAGCAGCAGGAGCAGAAGCAGGGGCATAACTTGGCGCAAAGTCCCAGTTCGGTTGAACAGCAATTACTACGCCTGCAGCCGGACTACAAATTGCTGTACAATGCCGAGCACCACACCTATTTCCACCTGCACACTCTCGTCCTCCCGGAGGAGAAAATCAGGATGAAGACCAGGCCAGGACCTGCGAAATCCGAGCAGCAGGCACCGCATCGCAGACTGTTCCAGCAGGTCGTGGGCAACACGCTGACCGCCGCCTTTGGCCTAAATGTGATGGACAGCAAGGGGCAAGTGGAGGTGGAGGGGCAGGCGGGGCAGGTCATTAGCGAACAGGTGAATCTCTACGATGCCGCCTCGCTGCGCCGGTCGCGCTTCAGTCCTTTCAATCCCACGAGGTGAGTGATGCAGGCGGATAGCCATTAGCTACACGACCAATTTTGAATACTTTTGACAGCCATTTGCAAAGCCATTTTCGGGTTTAAAAGCCTCATGGCGATTTAACATTTTCAGTAGGCTTTAAAAACATAAGATGACGAGTAGGGACTGTAAATAACAATATTTATGTGTTTTTGAATCAAAAAATCATAAGCTTAAAATCGCCATGCAATAAAAGTAAAAAAGAAATTTGACAAAAATAATTTATAAAAGCAAATCAAATATACATTAATAAATTAAAAAAATATATATCATGTGGATAAAAACATATTTTTAAAAAGCGGTAAATTAAAAATTTAATTTCTGAGTAAACATTTTCCAGAAAACTTCCTTGATTCCTTGATATTTGTTCGAAGAAATGTAATTGTCTTATTCTTTATAATAAGGATATAAGGTAACAAAGTATTATTTTCAATTCTGTTGCAATGAAAATAATAAAATCAAGCATTACTGCCAACATCCTTCTTCACGTTCAATAGTTTTACAATCAAGCAATTAATCCTCAGTTTTAAATACCCATTTTTAATTTAATAGAATCCTTATTCACGGATGGCTGGGAAATGCAAATGCCAATATGTACAGTGCCCTGTTGCCGGCGTATTTTGATCTGAAAAATGGCAACTACAATATTTTCACCGTGGACTGGGGACGTGGAGCCATAGCGGACTATATAACGGCCAGTTATCGGGTGAAGCCGGTGGGTCAGGTGCTGGCCAAGTTTGTGGACTTCCTGCACGAGGAGGCGGGCCTGCGCTTCGAGGATCTGCAGCTGGTTGGCTTCAGCATGGGAGCCCATGTGGCGGGATTGGCGGGCAAGAATCTGCAGACCGGTCGTCTTCGGATGATTCGGGCTTTGGATCCGGCCCTACCCTTCTTTCGATATGCCAAAGAAAAGGAACGATTAACGCGGCAGGATGCCGACCACGTGGAGGTGCTGCACACCAGTGTGGGCAGCTACGGATTTGATCGACCTCTGGGTCATGCGGATTTCTATGCCAATTGGGGCAGCCAGCAGCCAGGATGTTTTTGGCACGAATGCAGCCATTGGCGGGCTTTTATGCTCTTTGCCGAAAGTCTCTCGAGGAGTCAGGATCAGGACACGGGTGGTTTCTTGTCCCTTGGCTGTCCAGCCAGTGAATGGCAGCAGTTGACCCGTTTCCATCGCTGCCCAAAGGACACTGGCATTATCCAGACCATGGGCGGCGATTTGGCCAACGTTTCTGCGGATTTCTTGGCCCAAAGGCAGGGTGTCTATTATTTCCAAACAAACGACCAGCCGCCCTATGTTTTAGCACAAAATTCCAGCTCGCAAAAGGGTGGTACACAAATAAATAAACAGAGAAATGGCTGAAGAGAACGTAATGAGCAAAATGCAACAGCAGTTCGCGTTTTTATTTCTAATTAGTAAGTGCATGTTGTACTACACACTCACACACACGTGTATGTGTTTGTGCTGTCCCATTTCTAAAAGCCGGCTGGCAAAATTAAAAAATGCTGCCATGTGTAAAATGCTTTTCATGCCAGTAGCAGGCAGCAAAAATAGCAAAAAAAAATAAAGGAGTAAAGCTTGTGAAAACATCCATGCAGGAAATATTAGGACAAACACAGGAACGGAGTGTAGTTCAGTCTGGAAAATCAACTAGAAATGGGTATGCCAAAACAATATATGAAACCAAAATATAAGCCGATTTAACGAGACAAGCTCGCTAATGAAATCTATTTAACCCCTACATATTTTAACCATTTTCTATAACCTAAGTTTATTTATTTCATATAAAATATATGATTATGAAGATTTAATGACAGTTTTCCTTTTAAATGTCATTTTCCCGAATGAAACTTATTCAATTTATACTTTATTTGTATTTAAGATTACTTAGAGAAACTGACAAAACAAAAAGCATTAATAAATAAAAGTAAAGTTAAAGTTGCTTAATTTATAGACCCAAGCGGAGAACAAATTTGGGAAGGAACAAAGAAAAAACTTCTCCTGAGTACCATTAAAAATTTGTGACCGCATACTTGAATCATAAATTAAAAAGTTGGCTTAGCTCGCAAGTCAAGGTTTAATTGGCCAAGGCAAAAACACACTCCCCACGCAAAATATAGCACACTTTGGGGCATTGAGGCTTTGGATCGCACGACTGCCGCTAATGTGATTTTTACGCATCATTTGAGTGAGCAGCCAGCAATTGGCCAACGGGCACAAATAACAATGAAAACTTGGCTGATGCGGATGGATGCCATAGGAAATTACGTGAACAAATATTGGCAAAGCACTACAAATATTGCGAACAACAACCATGAGTTGTTGAAAAAAAGGAAACAGAACATTTTTATAATAGGTCATGTCTATTTGAATTCATTTATCCAAGAAATTGCATATAAAATGTGCTTGATGAAGCTAACAAGCTTGCTTGTACTTTTCCGTTTGTAGGTAAACACTTTTTACTCACAAAGAAAGAAATATGAAAATTTTTAAATAAATTACATAAAGTTGTGTTGTATTGTATTCTATTCTATTTTACAAAAGTTTAGCTTTCAAGCATTTTTAATGTAAATAAAAACTTCGTTATATTTTTAAGGTTTCTTTACAATTCACTATTATTGTTCGTTATTTAATTTGTGTTGTACATATATTGCTTACCACAAAATGGTCTCTAAATAATTCATATCCACAGTATTTAGCAGAGTTTTAATTTAATTATAAACGCTTGCACTGAATTAATTATTTTTCAGTTCACTGGCTATCCAAACCCGATTTTGCAGTCATTCGTTTACACTTTATAACTTGCAGAAGCAATGATTGAATTAGCTTAAGAGACAAGACAAGATGTTCACTTTCAGACTGGAGAGTTAAATTATTTTTTCTTGGATCAATTGCTCTGATGATTTCCTTACGGGGCTGACAAAAGAAGCGAGTGGAAAACGAATCGAATAAAATCCGTCGACTGTTGCCAGTTGTGCACTGCAAAGCAAACTGAAAATGTTCTCAGCCAAATGGAAAGACTGCAAGAAAAAAAGAATGCAGAAAAGATGGCTAATTTGTGTCGCGTCTTCCAGCGAAGGGGTGAGAATCGAAGGGGTTGTGGGTGGAATTGGATGTGGTAGTGGAGGTTACTCTGGGAAGCCTATGAAATGTGCCCCGCACTTGAGCCAAAGAGTTGACGCACAAACTGCAGCAAACACTGAGCTGAAAAACCGAACGGAAAACTGAGCTGAGCCCTCAGACAATGCATTCCTAATTCCCGCCAGGGGGTGAGAAATTGACAGAGGTGGAAAATACTCCGCGACAGTACACGAAAAAAAAATCAATGAATGTCAAACTATAAATAATTATCAATAATATAAGTAGTTTTAAATTGATTAAGTTTTTAAATCTGATTAAAAACGCTTCGCTGTAAATCAAACAAAAGTATAATGCCAAATTACAGACAATTATTAATAATAATTGTATGAACTAGATTTAAATCTGAATAAATACGCTTTGCTCTTAAGTAAATAACTTTAAAAACTCTATTGACGAAAATAATTATGTGAATCATGGCAAAATCAGCAATTTATTTCCAATATCTTGTTTTTTTTTATTAAGAGTTATATTGTAGTATATGAAAATTAAAAAACCAATTACGTATTTAATATAAGTTATAGGTTTGGATAAGAAAAATATTATACTTATTGTATACATCTAATTTATTCACTAGAAAGGGCTTAATGAAATGAAATGCCATTTTGCTGTGTACAAAAGGGTTTGTGCTCGTCTGCCTGGTCTTTTTTTGGACTGGCAGCCCATCAAACCAAACTGAGTGCAAGTCCCTGGGAAGCAGTCATAAAGTGTCGCGTTCCATGCTTCCGTTCCGACCACCTCCTTCGACGCACCAACCACCCACGCCCACACACACCTGTGCGCTGTCCTTTTACCTGCCGCCGCCCATCCATTAACCCTTCAGCCCTCCCTTAACCCGCAATGGCTTCCGGCGCACGAATCCAAACGGACGCATAAGTTTGCCAGCTGTTTGTCTTCGACTGAAAGCGCATATTACTTTGGCCACAAGCAGCTCTTCTTGCAGTAATAAGCACCCGGATTAGCCGTGCTATTCATCTGCTCATCCCTGGGGAGAACCAAAAGCCTTGGGAATCTGACAAGTGTGTTGGCAGTCAGAAAGCGGGAACTTTCTTTGTAAAGATCTCTGGAAAAATCTATAATTTTAATAAAGTTTGGAAGATGTTCTCTGTTACAAATAACATCCAATTGTTATGTTTAAGAAAACATAAGTTATTAATAAATTATTCTTTAGTATAGTATATGCTAAAATACCTATAAGGCTTTTAAGCTTGAATAACGTTACTATTATCATTGGCCTTAACTTATTTTAAAGGGTTGAATAACGTTATTATCATAATTGATCTTTAGGTCAGAAAACGATAACAAAATCAGAACCAAAATTATGTTTTTTTTTCGTGAGTGAATGCGTTTTAAAATCTTAGTTTAGAATTGTGATTTAAGATGTAAGCCTCAAAAAACCAACATGCTTTAATTTGATTTTTTAAATAAAAGTAATCCATTTTATTTCTGGGATTTTTTTTGTTAGATGTGGATATGTAAACCTCAACAATGAAGCTATCTATAACCCAGCACTGCATTAGTAAATCGTTATGCAATTTCGCCCCAGTATTTAGGACACAAATCTGCAGCTGAAACCAAAGAGGAACCTCTAGCTGAATAGAGGCCAACCAATGTTTGACAAGATTGTGGCAAAAAAATAAAAAAACAACGTTGCTTCCATCGGGGTGCGAAAAGATGTCCGTCAGTAGCAACAGCAGGTGGCCTTGGGAGGTGGAAAACTGTGAAAGCGAGTGTGTGGGTGGGGTTCCGTTGTCAACACACACAGTCGGAGGTCCTCTGTTAGGTGACCAACAGAACGTTTATTTAATTGAAAGGTCAGTCTGCAGGATACAGTTGCCTAAACCGTTTTAAGGGTGGCAAAAGGGGAGTGGCACCACAGCAACAAACTGAATGGAACAAAAGGTTGATTAAAGGCAAAATGAAGACTACAATAAAAAGTGGGGGAAAGGATTAGCTGCTAGAAAAGATTTCAATTGCAGTGAAGATAGTTGAACGGGACAATCTCAATGTCCCTTGATATTGTCGGAAAAATGGAAAAATAAGTAAAAATAATGGTCGCCAGTTAATGAAAAGAAAATAGCGAAAGGAATCTTGCTGTTTACTATATTTAGTTTTGCAAAAAACTTTGCTCACAATAGTTTTATGAAAGAAGATAGGTTGTAAAGCAATTGTTAGACTCAGGGATTAAGATTAATTTTTAAATTGCTGTAACTTTTCTTCTACGTCTAAAATTATTTCTTGCCCAAAACAACATTATTTCAATAAAGATATTACCCCTAACCTAAGTGCTTATTCAGTGTGACGTTTCGCTGCCTTAAGTTAAATCCATAAAAAGCCACACCAAAAAAAAAAAGAAAGACCGCCGCACAAACTGAGGTAACTATCAAATCAAACTTGCAGGTAACAATTACATCATTTTACAGACAATACGGAATGGAACAAGGACTTTTGGGTTTTCGAGGGGTTAGGACGCTGCACTTATATCCGAAACTCACTCAAACAATTAGCTCAAAAGGCGAGGTTGAGGTCGTTGGGTGTAAGTCACCGTCGTCATCGTCAACTGAAGCCCTATGAAAAAGTTTCAGTTTTTGCGCAAACAAATTGGATTATTCGATTACGTGTTTGTACAAGCGCATTGGGGAGGGGGGTTTTTGGGGGGCGAAGGTGAGCAAAACCAGGTGAGTTGCAAGTGGGCGGGGTTGAATTGTAAAGCGGCCAAGGGAACAAGTTTTTAAGGGCACCTCTGGGGGTTCGGTTTCTTTTTTCATAGGGGTTGCAGTTCTTCTTGTTTGATTTTGATTTATTTGAAATTTGTTTGCCAATTGGCAAATGTTTGCGAATCTATAGAGAACTGAAATGTAATCTATTATAGATGGACTTCATCTCCATTTCTGTGTTTTATATTATTCTTTAAAGTAAAAACTGAATGTGAAACTTCAGATATTTAATGTATGCTCGCATGGTAAAAAATGTTTGAAAAATGTTTTTTTAAATATTGATTTAAGGATTTAAGGTTATATTTGTAACAATAGTTAAGGATCTCTAGTATATATAATATATATATAGTGGTTTTTAAGGCTTTCATTTTAATAAAATTGTATTTTATTTAAAAATATTTTTACCATTTCTGGATCAGGTCAAGGCATACATTAAAACGTTCACATTACTATTTAGATATCTTAATAGAACCTATTGAATTGAAATCTATCAAAACCTATTTTCAAGGGACTTCTTGTTCCCATGACTGCGTTTTAAACTACTGCATTGTTGCCCTTTAAGGGGGCCTAAAAATAAAACCCAACCAACTGACTGGCGCCCAAATTGAAAGTCAATATAGTGAACAGTTGGCAAACACCTCCTGCAGCCAGCAACTGAAATTTATTGTTACAAACTGGCTTAATTGCTGGCCAACGGTTGGAAGGGGCTTTTAAAATTCTGCCCGACTTTACTCTTTTCTAAGCTTTTATTGAACGAGGAAAAAGAGAGGGTAAATTGTGTGTGTGTGTGTGTGGGATGTCTGGGGCACTTTGATTGCTTGCTTTTAAAATGAATTTTATAAAGTGGTTTTGGTCAGGTGTTTGACATTTGTGCAATATAGTATGCGGGGATAGCGCATTTATTTATTTTGCTTTTTAAT